GAAACAAATTATACCAAAAGCTCATGAATCAGAAGTCAAGCAGAAACCATAAACTGGATGTACACTAACACTAGTTAGTGCATATACACCAGCAGATCACGTAAGAATAAGGTAGCAGCTTCATCTTTAGCTGTCCATAGCACAGAGGATAAAATTCGTATTGTAATAGGAGACCTCAGCCTACCTGATGGTAAATGCACAAGATCTTGTGGATGTAGCCTTGGAATTTCCCAATTAAAACCTTCTTGAAAACACAAAAATTTTCATTTAGCATTTGTTTTTGTCTACCAGGACAGAACATTAACTTAGGATTTATCCAGGCTACCAGAAAGGAACTGATCACACAAGCAAAGACTAAACACCACTTACATAAAAGTTGTTACAAATTGTTTGGTCTTGCTATATGCATTCTTGAACAGACTCCAAAAAAAAAAAAAAAAAAAATATATACACATCCACATGCATGCTGCCCAGTTACAATTTTGTGCCTCTGAAAAGGGCTCCTTTTACAGTGCTGCAAGGAGCTGCCAAAAAAAAAAAAAAAAAAAAACCCCAAAAGGGAAGGAACACTAGTTTAAAGAAAAAGAAAAAAACATGAATGACAGTTTGTAGTCATTTAGCCCAGGTTTGGAAAACATATAGCTACACCTAATGAAAAAAGATTGCAAGAGCAACAAAATTGATTGCTTAGAGAGTAAAACAATACTTTTTTAAAAGACTAAAATAAAAAAATCACACTCATCATATATAACATTAGGAAAAAGAAAAATGGAAGCTTACAGGATGTTTAATGATTTTGGTTAGCTCTTTTTTAACAAATTAAGAACACAATGACCTCTAACAATTGTATCAACCCATTATGAGATCAGAATGGTTGAGCAGTTGATAACAGAGCAGGAAAAAACACAAGTATTTGATTAGAATCTGTTCTGGTTTGGGAAGAAACAGGTTATGTGTTTATAGCAAGGGATGGCGGTTAAATACTTTCCATTCCAGCAATAACTGAAAGGGATGTTAAGTCGCGAAAGTCTTCCGAGCCAAATGCCTTAATGCCATAATTAGAGTCATGTTCTCTTGCAGCAGTCCTAACCACCGGGCTCCCAGGAGCAGACAGAACAACATCCTCTGCTTGGCAGTAGGATGCTCACCTGGAAAGAGGGGCCAGAGTCCCAGATTCCAGACTGTGTGCCTTGTAAGTGTTAGGATCAAAATTTTCAACAGAAAAAAACCCAAACCATGCATACACTGTTACTTTTTCATAAACTGAGACTGGAACACAGGACTCTTTTTCCTCCTCCCTGTCACAGATCCCATAGCTGTGCACTAAACTCCCCACGGAACTGCAAGGGGAGCCTAACCGGGTATTTTACTGTAGCGTCTGTGTCTCCGCGCTGAGCACTGCAGCACACTGACCCCTTTGTAGACTGAGCCCCCATTAGCACCTGGCACTGCTGCAGCTGCTCCTGGCACGCCACTCTAAGGCTAATGTCCGCGTTGCAAGAAAAATGTTGATGAAGCACAAGTAAGCACTCAAAAAAGAACTGCGAAAGTGATGAAAGGCTTAGCTAGTGCAAAAGCAGGCAACTCATTTATTTTACTGACAAAAAGGTTATGAGGCAAATTCATGATAGTCTAGTAGTACTCTCATGGGAGAAACAGAAATTGGATACTATTGGGTCCATCAGTCTACAGGCCAAAAAAACGGGATCCAGAAGCTGGATGACAAGGCCAGACAAATTCCTACTCAAAAAGAGGAACAAAATTTTAACACTGATGGTCAACGGCCATGGAAAAAATATGAAAGCTTGTGGCAGATTGTCTCCATCATTGCCAATTTTTAAACCGAGGTGGACTCCCACCCCGCAAAAGACACGCATAGGTCAAACAGAAACTAGTTCATGTAACCAGCAAAGTGTGTTGAAGGATTCTTTATCCTAGCAAGAGGCTTTTATCTCAGTATCTCTGACTGCAGCCAACACTGGATAACCAAGAGCATGCTAAAGCCTTTCAGCTTTACTGAAGCCAACTTGGGGTGTAAAACTTTACAGAGGACAACAAAGGGAATAACAAAACCAGTAATATAGGCTCTGCCAAATCTCAAAATAAGCAAATGCTTCTGAACATCGATTTTTCTCTACTGATAGACTGAAGGTATGATTAACTTCCAGAATGCTACGGGATGCCAACAAGAGTCCCTGGGAGATGCTGAAAAATTGGAGAGGCTCCAGCAGAGCACTACCAAAAGCATTATAAGGCAGGAGAACTTGACATAAGAAGAAAGACTGATAGAATGTGGTTTGTTCAGCCAAGAGAACAGAAACCTCAGAGAAGATTTAATCAAAGTCTTAGGAAATAGTTGTAAAGGAGATGCAGGTACTCTCTACAGAAGGATACTTGCTATATATACAGGATACATATGCTATAATATCTGATGTGTACCTACGGTTGGATTTGTTATACCACTGTCTTTCTGCTTCTTAAGTGCATACTACTGGTTCCCTATCTGTCCTCTAGAAAAAAAAAAAGGATGCCAGAAGGAAAATGCACTATTCATTGCTAACATTGTCATGTATTTTTTCCTGTTTTGTTGAGACAAGTCAGTAGACCTGAAATCAAAATAATTTCTTTTTGTCAAAGCTAAGGGTAGATTCACAAGCCAGATTTACTCTCCTTAGCCCTGAACATGTTTCTCTAAGCTTCGGAATTTCAGTCTACTAGTAGTTCTTCATCTCTGGGCTTTAGTGGCCGAACTCTAAAAAGTAGCTTCAGTCCAGTTCAGTCCAGGCCTCTCACACTTTTTTTTTATCCCCCCCCCCCCCAAACCCCATTCAACAGCATGGTCCATTAAACACCTATACCCCAGCTCTTTGTTGTTGTTGTTATTAGTTACACACACTCGTCCTATACCAGCTAGAGGTATATAATCGACAAATGTTATTTCTCTTTTTAGTGTAATCAGTATCACTAATCTAATCCTTTATTTGCGGCCTCAATTTTCAAAAGCAAAGAACGCAAAACAAACATCTTTTTGCTTACACTCCGAAGTATAAACAATAGTAATCTAAAAGTGTACAGAGGGCAAATGAACTGCGATAGTGGCATTTAGTCCCTTCCACACATTAGTAAGAACGCAGGGCACTCAGTACTTTCAGTAACTGCCAAACTATTCAGAACACTTAATATATTTTACAAAGAGAGAATAGAAAATTAATAACATCCTGGAAATTAAATACTCTCAACAAATTTACAAATTGCTCAAAGACTTCCACTCTTTCTGAATGAAACAGGAAGTTACAGAAGAGATGAAAGACACTAATTGTACATCACAGCCCATGATTGATTTCTTTTGATTCTGGCACATGATGTGTCTAAAAATATAACATCTTCTGAAAGTACTGGTTTAGATATACCAAATTTTAATGGTCTAGAAAAATATGCAGGAAAAATAAATAAATTCTGCAAACAGCAACTTTAACCTAAAAATGCTTTTAGGGAAGGAATGGCAAACATTAATACTGTTTTAGCAGCATATCTATGCCCAGAATAAAAGCCATAGGTTGACATAAAACTAAGAATAACATTCTCCCTGATTTATTCCACTAGAATTATCAATAACTGTAGTACTGAATTTTTAAAATGCTACATTGACTGCAGATGACCACAGTCCTTGCTTAACATACAGCACAACTTGGCAACCTCTGAAAAAACCACACACCTAACCCAAATCAGCAAGAGAAAAGCAAACCCATTTATCTCACCATTTAAAACTTCTACAGAGAACTACATCTTAGAACATATTTTGTTTATAGGACTTCAATTTCAATATTCCATGTAACATAGATCTGCAGCCATATCTGGAAATAAAATGTATTTTCCTGAACAACAACTTACAAGGCTCGACTTGTGTAAAATCACTGCAATTTGAAGTTATCCTTTGAGGCACAATGTTTTTCAAAATAAGGCTCAAGTAACTTAAAAGGTAAGTAGAAAGTGTTTGCTTCATTCTTCATGCTGTTCACAATAAATAGCATGATGTCTATCTTCCTTGTTCTACTGGTATGTTTATAAAAATGTACTTACTTTTAAGCTTCAGTGTCATTTTGATACAAAAGTTAAAATAATTCTGTTTTCCTAAAATGACATAACTATATTAAAAAAAAAAAAGTATTTGTTTTTCAAAATGAAATCTAAATTTTAAAAAGTACAGATTTCTATCAATGACAGCTGGGATTGTCACAGTACTACAACAAAAACTGTAGTATTTCACCATTTAAAAGATCTTCTGCAAAACAGTAAGGAAAACCAACTCCTAATATTTGGATTTTTAAAAATTACTAATCTGCAGTATGTCATGTAGTAAAGTATCAGAGCTGAGTTACAAGCCAAGACCCAGCTGCAAACACAGATGGGTTCCCTAAATGTCATGGAGTCTGGAGCCAGTCCACTTCAATCAGGGGGCCCAACCAGGAGGAGGCTGTAAAATTCCTATAAATGGCTGAGAATTACAGGAGGAGGACAAGCCCTACAGCACACTTGGAGCAGGCAATGTCTTCACAACAGATCTTTAACCCAGCAGACCTCAGGGTATTCAAAGGAACAATGCTTTTCTGAGTCAAAGATAACACGGATACCTGGAAAAAAATCCTTGGTCTTGGAAGTTGGGCTTTGATTAGGTGAGGAGCAACGTGGTTTACATGCCAGAGTAGTAATGCATCTAACGCAATATGTCTGCATCACATAATTTTTTGAGCAATATTAGTTTTTACATTGGTAAGCGCTATGTGGCTGTAGATTGTACCACTTAAGTGTGCGATTCAGCAAGACATAACATTACTGACACCCTCATTATTAACAAGTGACTACCTGTGAATTAAGTCTGTAGCAATTCAGAAATGAAGAGGGAAATAAGTTTATACTCCCAAGCACCCACTGAGGCACTCCTGGCTCATTTACCAGGTTATTCAGTGCACAATTAATCATTAATTCCACAAAGCACCTACCTGCCAAACCAAGTGTTCCTTTACAACAGCTGTACCTGATAGACAGACGCTCAGCACAATCGTATGAGATGCAGAGGTCAAGACGCTGGCAACTATAGCGTCCCTCATGTTGAAGGGCAGCATGGTATACACCACAAAAATAATGAACAAGAAAAATGATACCTGTGCAAGACAGCAAGACAAAAAAGAAGCATGTCAAATTCACTTTGGAATAACATTTAAAAAGTAGCATTTAGTTTTGAACTTTCTTCAGCATAAAGTTACACATCAGTTTTTTACAGGAAAGTTACTGCTAACTACTGCAGAAAATCGATTTAGGAAGAATTCATTTTAAAAAGTGTTGGAAAACGTACATGATATTTGATTTAAGAAGTGCAATTTCAAGATACTACATCGTGGTTTGAGAACTACACAATACTCCAAACTTTTCAAATTTAACCTCAAATTCATCTTTTAAAATTTTAATTTCATTAACACTGTTTACAGTTAGAGCATAGTTCTCCTGGGACTGGTGGTTTCTGATTGTGAACTGCATTGCAAAACAATTTGCCAAACCCCTCCAGAGGGCCTAAATTTCAATGCAGAGAGATTTCATTCATCCCGATGCACTAAAAATTCACAATTAATATAACATGACATTATGCAAAAAAGCCCAAGTTCAGCCAAGCATTTTGGTTTAATAAGATTATACTTCATGTGTATCTACACGATGTATGTCACATTCCATTAAAACACTACGTTTTAAGCTAATATATTTATTTGGACATTAAAAACAACTTCAGACAATCACAGCCCATAAGCAGAATTTACTGTTAGCTTCTTTTAAAGGATATTAGCATCCACAGTAACTTTATGGAACAAACTCTCCAAAACGCACAATCCAACCTGTAACAGCAAAAGGGATTCCTTCGCTATACATACAAAAGATCATATATTTGATGGTATGCATATGTTCCAAACTCCACCACATGTTTGAGAAAATGTAACTAGATTTAGGACTCAGATTTTGCACACTCAAGTAAGTAGGCAGTTCTGAAAATGTGCCAGCTTGCATATAATTATATCCCTAAGCAAGCCTTTCCATCAGTTTTAGTTGACTTACAAGCCTATTCACCCTCTAACAGTTGTACGCACACAGTATTTAACTCTGAAAGCTCCCAAGCAGGTATGAGCAATAACAATTTGCTGCTCACTTCTCTTACTGTCAGTTTGTTTTCTTCACATCTGCACGTGATGATTCCATAGTCAAAACTGAACCCTGATGTATGTGTACGTACAAGACATCATGGAGGCAGAATTGGACGGAGAAGGAAGTCCACTTCTGTTCTCCACTCATCTTTCTCCAATTCCTCCATTAAGATTAATCCAACTCCTTCCTGATCACTCATACTCTTCTTGATGCTGCCCAACCATCCCATATGCTCAAGAGTCAAGAAGTTCACTGGCATGAAATGAAACGGAACTGCAAAGGACGTGAGGGATAATAAGAAAATAAAGTAATAAAAATGCAAAGGGAAAACTTTGCTTCTCCACTCTTCCAATCTACCAGCTGATAGCACCAGGTCACAGAACTGTTTGATATCTGTTTAGTTTCAGTCCTCCCTAAAAGTTTTAACTATGAACAAATATTAGTAAAACCAACAGCAAAGAAAAGGGTGTACAAACTTGGTCTAGAAAAGAGAAGGGTTATGTAAGTATGATGTTTTCAAATTGTCCTGGCTGGGTAAAAATCAGTGATACTGAGAGAACTAACTGATAGTCTCAAAACTTGGGAAAAATGTAGAAAGTTCTGGTAGGCTAGAAAAGGGAAACCTAGCACATGTCTTTGAAAGGCTGGGAAAAAGCCTAAGGAATTAAGAACTGGTCAGCTTAGCTTCAATTCCTGGAGCAATAACAGACCAAATAATAAAACAATTCATAATCAAGAGTTCTGAAAGTTAAGAAAAATGTAAATAACAGCCAATGTGATTTTGCCAAGAACAAATCGCATTACAGCAATCTCATCTTCTTCTGTCACAGTAACAGGCATCAGGGTAGGGGAAAAATCTGAATAATGAGTTGGCAGTAACAAAGGATGTGAAAGGTCCTCTAACATACACATAAGATGAATGGATGCCAGAGGCAAAATACCTTACCATCATGTAAGACCAGCTGCCTAAGAGTTTCCAGTTAAAAAAATGGTCTGAGGATGAATCCTGGACCCTAGTCCTGGAAGGATTTCAAATGCGTCCAATCTCAGTGACTTTTCATGAAAACAAGGTTTTGTTGTTTTAAAGTTTAGCTTTCTAATTGACTAGGGTGAAGATGGCATTCACATATTTGTGAGAATTTTATGATTAGAAAATAAAAAGTCATCCTTCTCTAACTGTTCTGTCTCCAAAAAATAGAACTTGCATATTTTCTGTGCTTGAATATGGTTTGACTTTACAGCCAGACTAAATGATCCACCCCACTTGTGAGATACATGCTAGGTACTTACTAAACTCATTAGTGGATATAAGATACAATATGATGCTGTTGCTTTTCAACTTTGACATAAAACAAACTACTAAGCACATAAAAAAGATTTTGTTACATTGCAATGCTTCTAGTGGTATCAGCTGTATCAGCTCCAAATTTGTTATACTGCTGTAAACAAGTATCCTTTCTTTAAGTTACCCCACTACTTTCCTTGATCAAAATAAATGGATAATTTCAACCTTCCACAACTACAAACAGAGCTTTTAGAAGTTTCAACCCCTCCTGACACTACGTGTTCAGACCTCAAACTCCCTGTTACTCAGCATCAAACAGGCTGAGTTGGACTGGAACTGTGTTGAATAACACTTGATAACAAATTGACCTGTCAATTCTTGTATTTGCATCTTCAGATTTGGGTCTGAGAATGCTGTTGCAAAGCAGGAGATGTATCAGTCAGGCTAAGATAGAAACTCTCATCCAAAATGCACATAGGAATGGCTCCTGTCAATAGTTCTTGATTCTTGGCCACACTCCTTTTCTCTTATTTCCAGTAATGGTCTAATGACCCAAGGGGTTAAGAGCTCCATTTATCACACAGGTTCCTTTTTTATTTCACCATGGCTCAAGAATATTCTCCCCAAGTACCCTGAAATAAGATGCTTCTACCTTTCATCTTGATAGCAGACATACATGATATGTAAGGCTTGGGACCTTTCAACATATTTCAAAATGTCGCTGTATTTAAGTTTGATACTGTAGAAGTCAATACTCAAGGCTTCTGAGCAGGGTGATTCTTCAGGTAGAAAGAGGAGACAGACTTTCTGGACTGAGTCACAGTCTGCAGAATGGACAGCGGCCCTTGACCCTTTCCATGATCTTTTCGTAAGAATTAGCAGAATATTGCTGACACAAACATCAAAAAGCAGTGATGCCAAGCTCTGAAGGACCCCACTATCCCGTTGCAAGAGTTGCTGATGCACGTCACTGCGCGTCTGCACTTGGTGTGTGTACCCATCAGTAAACACAGTATTAATTTACAGTGCACTATTTTTGACACTACTAAAAGCAGCCTGTTCCACCAAAGCGTGCCATAACCACAAAGCCTGTCACTGTTTTGAAACTGTGTTGGAAGCAATCTTTGATGTGAGTCATCACTACAACTGCCTAGTTGAAACATGCTTTTTGTCCTGATCTGAACTTAAATTACTTTAGGAATTTGATTCTCAGAGACTTTTTTGATGAGCTTATGTTATCCATACCTTGGAGATGGGGAGTATTTGGGCATTGATGGCATGCATCATAGCACACAGCGCTTGCTTTTGATTAATACTGGTGTAACGTCTTACAGAGAAGTATGTGGCTTTCCTGCTTTTATTGAGGGGTATCTAGGACTCTTGCCCATCATTCCTGACTGTCAGAGCTTAGCAAAACTCTGCGTTTGCTGCTCTCTCTATCTCTTCTCCCACACTTCAGTAGTGCCACATTTTCAACTACTATGTAAGCAGTTCTTTTCCATACCAATTTAAAGGATGATGAGCTGCCATAGTGCAGCTGCCTAGATGGGTATGTAACAGATTATTTTTCTGCAGATGTTGTGCAGCTGCTTTCAGAAGGGCAGTGAAAGTTCTCATACAGATTGCTGCAGCAATGCCATTAGAGAGACTTGGACACCAAATGGTATAATGACAGCATGGCGTGGGATATCACCGATGATCACGAACACTCACAAACACTCATTCTTGTCACACAACACAACATAAAACTATAGATAAGCATCTTTCTGCATCTGGCAAAATGGAAAGATTTTGGCTATACAGAATAGAGTAGCAGTTCCTTCTTTAAATCAAGCCCATCCTGAAAATTTTTAATGATAGCATTTTTGTCCCAGCATCTCCAGATGTATGTAAGCCACTTCAGCCTCTGACCTATACTGGTGACTGTGATCTAGGAGAACTGGTATGAAATTGGTAATACTTGGTGGTTCACAGACGTTGCGGTTGGAAAGGTCACTGGTTTGGACTGTGATGGCACAAACTGCAGTGGACCCAACCTGGTTTTGGAGCCCATGGACCCAACCTATTCCCAGAAACCTCATCTCCCTGGTGTCGCCAGTTCCTACTCAGAGTGGCATCACCTTAACTATGAAGGGTGTCTGGAATAGAAAGTTTAAGATATTTTACATATAAAATTGTCTTTCCTAGCATATAGGGTACCACAGGGGATGTTGCTTTTGACACTGAGAACAACTGTACAAAAAGATACTAATCATTCATTTTCTACAAATTACGTTCCAACAATGACTCACAATTTCCCAGCTAGACAGCCTTTTTAAGGTTGTGTTCAATGGTTAATCGTTAAGTGGCTTGGCATATGTAAAATTCACTCAACTTAATGTTACTCTGACCAGAATTTCCCCTTGAGGAGTATGACATCTTGGCACGGAAGCAGGCATGCAAATCTAAATGTACTGTTTCAGTATGAGTTAGGGGAAAGCACCGCTTTGGACACAGTCAACAGTAATGAGGCTAGAGCTAATAAAATCTCTGTAGTTCTTTGGGACAACTTCTTACACGTAAGTGTAATGACAGCAAAATGCTTGGGAAAATAGTGCTAGCTTTTAACTTTATAACCAGAAAAGACCCTATTCCTATAATTAAACTGTTAAGACTACAAATATTCACACTAAGTGGGCCAGCCCACCA